TTCAATAAAATGTTGAATGTGAGTCAACAAACGCGATGACATGGCCTTTCACCTATGACCTGTCTTGAAAGGGTTAATAGTGTTTTTATCACTACAATCCTTTGTTTCATATTTTTATGATGTCATAGTATGAGGTCTGAACACTTGCTAGTGAAACTTAGGGGTGAACAAAGGAATGTAATGGGTAGTTTAGAAGACTTAGGAACAAACCACAAACCTGGAAATATTCTTATAGTTTCTTTAGATGTTTTTTTTTTCCTGAAAATGTTTTTGTGTTAAATTCTATAGCTTTCAAACAGATATAATTTTTCTTTATGACAAGAAATCAAGTAAGCTTAGTTTGATTTTGGGAGGTACAGCAGGCAACACAAAATATTACGATAACTCATATCCATACTTATTAAATATTACTGTTAGGTTTATAATATTCAAACAAGTAAAATAACCTGTTATTTATTGTAGAGATTATTTATTAGACATAAATTGATCTCAACCAAGTTACCTTCATTAGGTTAAACTTCATGACTTTTACTACGAGCATTTGATGATGCCAGTTTGAAAGATGAGGCTGAATGTCACTAATAATTATATCAGTTTTGTAGCTTTTATATGATTTATAGATAGCAAAATAAAATATGATAAGAAATATGCTAATGAATATCAGTCAAGTTGAAACTGCTGGATATATAAAGTGAAACTTGCTTTGCTTAAAATGGTGCCTCACAACACAATTTTTGTAAATTTTACAACCTGAAAATATTGTATAAATACTATGACAAATCATTTGAATTTCTTTAAGCAAAAACTAGATACTGTTTTGTAACTTTTACCATTGTGAGAAGGGAAAAATTTTTTGAATATCAATGATGACCTCCTCTGGTCCAGAAAGGGTTAAGGAGACATTGTCTTGCTGTGTGAACACAATTAATATTCATGAGTTTTGTTTCCTAATTTTTGAACAATGTTACTGCAAGAAAAGAGCTGAACCAAAAGCCACGAAATGTAAATGTCCACTTTATATTCTGATGAAAGACATTTAAAATAATGGACAAATTAACAACTTAGATCTCTGTATTCTTCACATAAACAAAGATAAAAGCAACTCCATGAAAATGACAGATAGGGAAAACAGCTGAAATAATTGGAAAATATATCACATTCTTTGAGTAAAATAAGAAAACATGAAAAATGGCTTGCTTTCCCAAATGTCATTGTAATTTTAGTTCAGTTGTTATAATTTTGGATTGAAATAAAAATGTTATTTTATGCAGTATTAAGTAATTTTACAGTATGTGTGGTATATAACTCTAAAAAATGTGTTAGGTTGAGTTACAAAACATTATAATCATAATTCATTCACAAAGTTACAACATAAATTTTTTAAGGTTTAGTATACAAGAAAGAGTTAACTCAACAGGTAGTTCAAAGTGCACATTCATAATCTTTTACAGAGTTACATTCAAAATTTAATTAAACTACTTTATTATCAATGTATACAAATAAACTTGGCATCTAAATGTGGTTAATTAATCAAATTTTGATAAGTTTTAAGTTCTTAATGTATAAGGAAATATTTTAAAAAATTCTTATTCTCCCCTAGTATAAGAATTGTGACATTTGCTCTCCAAGTTTTCCCTCTTCTCTCATTTATTTACCACCCCTCCAAGAATTATGAAATTTAATATAAATTATCTATTATAATATAGATATTACTTGACAAAGTATAATTGTTCTAACCTTCAATCTAATTTGTTTACAGAGCCATAAACTACAAAATTAGACCCACTTGTCACATCCTCTTCTTCACAGATTGCCAATAGTTCTCTCTGGCATTTTATACTATGTTAGTTATAACCAGTAGAAAGCCAATGTTTTAATCTATCAAATAACATTTATATTACATTGCTTTCTCTACAGAGCATTGTCTATTTTCTCATTCAGTTTCATAGAATATTATTCTCCTGGGAATCAAATTGATGAGTCAGAAAAATTATGGTACTTATAGAACATTATTTGCTTTTTGGATGTTATTTATTCAGTGTTCTTAAGTGCAGTATTTAATTAAATAAAGATTATTTAGTATAGTAGTACCATTAGTATAAAAAAAAATAGGCTTAAGATTCATCAACATTTTGACAACAACAACAACAAAAAAAGGCCCAAATCAAGTACCATATTTCTGTTTTTCA